GGGGGCTGTCTTATAAGGACAGATTATGAATTTTAATACCAGTAGTTTAAAGTCCGAATGGCAACAGGAGACTATTCGGACTCGAGTATATCTCGCTGGGTACAACCAGTGATAGTGTCCGCGAACTGGAATTTGAGTCAAAATAACCTCCAGCACTGTTCGGACTCGAGTCGGAATAGCCACTTCATTTAGAATTACAGAGTGTCTACGTACACGGTAACCAGGTGCACAGCCTCAGGGTCTACACATGGTAACCGGAAGGTCCAAGAGATAGTCCACTCAGCCAAAAAAAAGTGTCACTTTTTTATTGTTTTTCACACAAGAAGTGGAGATTTTCTAAAGAAAGTGGCTATTCTCACCCGCCGGAAGTTCTCGCAAGATCAACTCCTCCCCTCTTCTCTCTCTCTCTGTCTCCTTCTGAATACTGTCTATCGGTGTGGACGATCAAATTGACCAAAACAAAGTTAAAAAATGATGTTAAGACACAAAAGTAAATTAATTTGGTAGTCTACAAACATGCTACGGCTATTTAACTTTTCGAATCGAGCCGAACTACGCGGGTCGCCATTTTGTTTTGTTCTCTCTCTCACTCTCTCTCTCTCTCTCCACTGCCCACAGACAAAATTGTACGCTTTTAGTAGGCTACAAGTACAGTTGTAATGGAACGTTTGTTCACAGCACAGAATTCTACAATTTTTCTCTTATCACAGCGTAGAATTCTGTGGTTTAAGGTGAACGCAAAATTTGTTGACAAGCGCACCGGGTGAGAATAGCCACAAGACCCGCCTGCACTATTCTCACCCCGGGTGAGAATAGAGGTGGCCGATCTTATAACAGTTCAGAAGACCGACGTTCACTTTGTTACCTAAATTTAGCAGAGACGAAAGAGATTTAGAATCTAGTCTTCGTGCTTGGTCATGCAGACTGCAACAGTTTATGAGGTGTAGATCTAGACCCCTCTTCTGAAAAAACTGCAAGCTAATCCTTAGCCTTGCGAATGCAAAGTGAAAGTCGAAAGTACGTGCACTGTGCACAATGCCACATAAGTAGGCAAATAAAACCCCGGCCAGGTTTTGTTGTCTGTTTTTGGTTTAATCAAGAATATTTGGGAGTTGTAGTCCATCGTATTGTAGCCTACTTCATCGGTCCTTGACCTACATATAAAGTAAAGGGAAGAGAAATATTTAAATGTAGGTTAGGCTACCATTTTTTACCTCTTTTACTTTTGATTTAGATCTTTTTCTCTCTTTTGTGCCACCATAAATCCCAAGCGCACATATTGAGGATCTATTATTTTTGCGGTTTTCAACAACTTGGCACGCAATGGCTAGCGTTAGTCGGCAATCAAGTCTTGCGCCTGGCCCGGAGTGTGGACTCGCGGACTCGCGTCAGTCGCGTGCGTGCGTGCTCCCGACTCCCGATGTAAACAAACGAGACGACAACTGGGTGTCTACAATTTTACTAATCTAGATATAGATATCTAGATCTACTAAGTTGTGGTTTATAATCCAGTTTCCAAGAGTCTTTTCTCGTCTGCTTTGCCGTTTGGTAAGTCGTTTTGCTAGATCTAGGCTTTCAAACTGCCGCAACTGTGTAAACGTCCTTATTATTACCCTTACCCCTACCCCTACCCCTACCCCAAGCCCTCAATTCTGCTCTGTCTCATAGTGGTCGCTCGTTACGGAAGTCCTCCCATAATGATACATGCCTAGGCCTACGTCTACGTACACGGTAGCCAGTGGCGGTGGGTAGTGAAGGGCTCACGGGCTTGAGCCCCTACCCCCTCCCCATCCACCACCCCCAACTCTATCCCAAAGCAAACGAAAGTGAAAGTGGCGATTGTTAAGATTCCCGCGTTTAATTCCGATGTGCGTTTTTCATACCCTCAGGCATATTTCGCTTTGGTCCCTAACCCTAGGTTAGGATTAGGGTTAGGGCCAGGGTTAGGGTTAGGGCCAGGGGTAAATTTTTACTTTCACTCCCGCACACAGATGCACTGTTTCAGGGGTCAAACTGCTGTACTGTTTGCTGCAGATCACACAAAGCCACTAAAACTGTCGCAAATCAATTATTTTCAAGACAATTTCAAATCTAACTGTAAAATATCAAATTATGGGTAAAAACAGGGGGACATGCCCCCCCTGTAACCCCCCAGATTTTCTTTTACCCCAGTGAGGCAGGGCCCCCTGGAACCCCCCGATTGGTCCAAAGCATGTCTATCTCGGTTAAGAACAATCAAATATTTCAAAAACTATTAATTTGCGACGGAAATGAAGTTGATATTCGCGTTCAGCGCATCAATATTTAGTAGAAAATAGACAACTGGTAGCTGAGAGTGAGACGGGAGGGAAAGTAAAAAAATACCGGGCCAGGGTTAGGGTTAAGGTTAGGGACCAAAGCGAAATATATGCCTGAGGGTATGAAAAACGCACATCGGAATTAAACGCGGGAATCTTAACAATCGCCACGAAAGTTTCTCCATATTGAAATATAAGCAGTGGAAACTGTTATGACCGCACGGAGTGAACACAGAGTGATCAACTTGGCGGCCTGCTCGCTTATCCAATCACTGTTGCCACCGCTTACAACTATAGTAACCCAGCAGCCAATCAAATGTCTTTAGGGATCCGCAAAGATGAGCCCTTTTCCCACAGCCCGTCCTTAATGAAACTCTTCTTGTAAAAAGGTAGAAGACTGGGAAAAAATAACACTGTACCGAGGGCTCACACTCTCCTAGCCCTGACAATGGGGTGAAAGTTTACGACACACTTTCCCCCACTGACACAGATACCTATGCGCTCATTGGTTCTTTGTTGGGTGCGTTCTACTTTCTCGACTACACGACTGCACTCCCTAATCCGGCTCACAGAAGTATTATGTTTGAAGTGTTGTGTGTGCATGTTTGTGTTTGTGCCGCTGAGATTTAACAGTTATAAATCACGTCGAACTACTTGTAAGGCAACTTTTTCATCACAGGAAAACTAATTAGAGGAAATTTGGAGGTGAATCGGCTTCGTCTCCACCATCAACAGGAATTTAACTAAGAACAAAGAGATGGAAAAGAAAGGCAACTCTTCTCGTTAGAATGGTTCTCAAACTGCCGTGGCTCACTGTGAGTATAGAAAAATCATCTATCACTGTTTAATTCTTATTGCTTGCTATTTGGTGGTAAAGAACTGGAAGCAACCTAAGCCCCACCCAAATTTTGGTCCACCCACCGCCACTGACGGTAGCCGGGCACCTCGTCTCAGTATCTACGTACACGGTAACCGGGCACCTAGTCTCACCTAGTCTCAGCATCTACGTACACGGTAACCGGGCACCTAGATCTATATATAGATCTAGTCCTCAGTATCTACGTACACGGTAACCAGAATGAAAATAAATCTATTTTTGTCCTGTGCTGTCACTTGCTGAAAAAATGAAAGTTGAAAGTTATACAAGCGTCTTGTCGGGCTCGCCATCGTGACCAGTCAGTGAACCTGTGCGGGCGCATCACATTGTGAGTACCGGTTGGGGGTCACCAAAGTTCATTCAAAGTCTGTGAGCTGTGAAGTATCTAAGGGCTCCGGAATGGGGGGGATTTTATTGATTTTTTAAACTCTTGTCCTGCGTCTGTGCCGAGATGCGAATCTTATCAGCAACCGATTACGTCGGGCGTGCCGGGCAGGCCGCCGAGGTCACTCAGTGTGTTCTGTTGGTGTACAGCGCGCGCGCCGGGAAATGTGTGTTTTCGCCATTAAGACCGTGGGAGATCGAGGATGAAATTAACGCTCTATCTTTCATAGCTTTTTATTTATAAAGTGTTACAAAACACATGAATAACCCCCTCTCACAAGCTGAAGACATTACCAGTAGTTACACTCATTCGAATTTTAAACCTTTCTGGATGCTCTTGTTGTTATGAATTACCTGAGGTTCGAAAGGGGATAATACAGGTCAATTTCCAAATGTTTTGCACTCAAATTGTTCTTTGTACCTGCACAATGGTATTCAAAACTATCAAACAAGCTTATTTTTTTAATCAGGTAGTATCATTTCATACAAAATCAAGCTCATTTTAAAGATTTTGTATAGAAAAATGGAAGTCTGTTTCCTGACTATCCTTTCGAGCTTCTCATGTCTAAATGAGTCAATTTCTTCTATAATTTCATTGGACGAACATCTAGAGCTACAGTCCATGCCGGCTTTAAGCACGGTCATCGGGAGAAAGCTTAAGCGTGCTTAAAGCCGAAGCGTGCTTAAGTGCGAAGTAGACATAATCCAGAGATTTTCATGTAGAAAATTCCCCGTGCTATTTCCCTTTGTTTGTAAGTAGGCCTATAGCGGTCCCACAAAAGTGTGCACTGTTATTTAGACACACACCATGGTAGTTTTTGTTCGCTTGTTTGTTTTTGTTTTGTGGTCGAATGGGAAATGAAAACTGAATTTAGACGGCCAGTCACGATACAGCACACTAGGCCTACTGTAACACACTGCCTGTGCGTACCACTGCCCGCTGTGCCACTCATACCACCGCCTTCATCCCACCTCGCGCATGATACACAATCAGGATTAATGGGTAGCGAGGGTCAAAGGTGAAATCGCAGCCAGCCTCCCTTTCTCATCTCCCCGCCTCTCTTTTTTTTTTTTTTGGATCGTGTGTAGCTTTGCCTTAGGCCTAGGCTAGATCCTATGTCCGCGCGAACGGCTGTGTGCATCTGCCTTCCTCTCCGCCCGTGCGAGTGTGTGTGTCCATCACTTGCGTTCTTTGTGTTTCTCTTGACACACTCCACTGTTGCGGTGTAAACTGCGTTCGAACTTCGATGGGTCATCATGAAAATATTGACTGCCTTGTAAATGAAGCGTGCTTGAAGCCGAAGTTACCGTGCTTACAGGCGTGTAATTTATATAGCAAAAATTCGGTAAGAGCCGTTTAGCGTGCTTGAGTCCGAAACGTGCTTAAGGCCGGCGTGCTTATAGCCGGCACGGACTGTACCAACTTGGGGTGTTTTGAATGAGACTCATGCCTCGATTACAAAACAATGCAGGCCGTTCTAGAAGAAGGCCACAAACGCTCACAAACTCAAGCAGACTGATGCACACTCACTTGACCTGCATGAATGGGGATCCGACTCGGGACCCGAATTTCTCGTTAGATGTGTATGGTTATTTGTTATATGAGATTAGTTCATGTTCTCTGTACGTTATGTGGTGTACCCCATATTATTTCATGTTATGTTGTACCTGTATCATTCATTGTCCCTGTTAATCCGTGTTCACAGATGAAATCATCATCTACCGTTTATAATAAATGAACTACACTGAAAAGTCTTTCTTCAAGATGGTGCGCGTGCGCAGAGCCAGGGGCTACACTGATTCGGGACCAGAACATAGGCGAGGTGCCGAAATCTAATAGGCTTATCGGGCGACATAAACCCAGCTCCCGCAGGATGAGGGTTAAAGGTACAGTCGAGTGAGGGGTGGGGATGAAGGCAACACCGGATGACAAAAACTGAACTTGGAGTTCTGGACTGCCCTGCAGGTACTGTGTACGTGACACTGAGACTACATGCCCGGTTGCCGGTTACCGTGTACATGACAGAGACTACGTTCCCTCTCTATGATAGTGAGGTGCTCGCTGTAGGATATTACAGTGTAGGCTGTAGCTTCATAATGTTTACTTTCTCACGTTTAATTCCGTAACGAGCGACCACTCTGAACTCTATGAATATTATACTCAATGGCTATCAAAATCAGTACTGAAGGGGGGTAAAGCTGTGATCTTGTAGTTCCGTTCGTTAAAGTGTAAAGTCCTCGATCCATTTGTTTACATCCAGAGAAGAAATCCACAAGTCTTGAATACCAATAGGCGACACAAAGAACAGGGATGCAACCTAACTGCAAAACATCAAATTATGGTAAAATTATAAGTTTAACACTTACTTTGATGCACGCAAGAATATCATTTTCGCTTGTGCAAAATTCAACAAATGCACTCAGTTACCGTGAGAGAGTGTCGATATATTCATCCAAGACTTGCACAGGCTCGCAGATGACTGCAGCTATGGGGCCCTCAAAGATGAGCTCATAAGAGACAGAATAGTTGTCTGACTGAGTAAGTGCACAGGCTCGCAGATGACTGCAGCTATGGGGCCCTCAAAGATGAGCTCATAAGAGACAGAATAGTTGTCTGACTGAGTAAGAGACGATGACCTGTCCAAACAGCTCCAATTGAATTGAAGCTCAAACAAATAAACCGACAAGCTGAAGCTCGCAATGAAAGCCAGACACTCGTACGAACTCGAGTTGAGCTAGTAACAACAAAACCACACAACATGCGTAGAGTGTCGAGTGCTTCAAGGCCTCCACACAAACCACACACTCAACACACAGGTGTGGATACTGTGGCCGCCTCCCTAGCCACAAACGAGACGCCTGTCTTGCCAAGTCTGCAGTCTGTGGTTCCTGTGGCAAGAGAGGCCACTATAAAGCTGTTTGCCGTAGTCACCCCAAAGTTCAGGAAGTCGCAGTCAACTCCTACCACGTAGCTGAGATCCCAGACTTTTTAGGTTCCATTACTGTGAACAAAGTCAACAGCCCAGATTGGTGGTCTGCTATCATCAAGTTGAATTCCATCCCAACAAAATTCAAGCTTGATACTGGTGCTGTGGTTTCTGTCATCGGAGACAGAAGTGTGGACTCAAGACTCAAGTCAACCTCTCAATAGCTGCAGCAAAATTCTAAAAGGCCCTCTTGACACAACTTATTTTCATGGCGTCACATTTTTAAAAAACAAAAGACAAGGACACGGCAAAATTGCCGCAGTTGACCCTAGGCAAATTGCCATGGTGTCAGGGTCTATTTCAAGCCCTGTAATTAGGCCTAGTGTGATATAGTTCCTTATAATTATAAACCATCAAATATTTTTTTTACTCTTAATTTGCGACGGAAATAAAGTCAATGTTCGTGTTCAGCGCATGATATAAATGTATGAAGAAAATGAACACATAGTTGCTAAGTATGAAATGAGATGGAAAGTAAAAGAATACCGAAACTATGCAGTTTGCCAAGTTTAAACATTACCACACAGTGCTCATAGTTGTGGTATCTTCCAAGCCTTATGGAAGACGGCTCAACTAATGAAAATCTAGTCTTGTAAATTTTGGGTTTAGTCGGTTTTACATTAAAATTAGGCTAAAATGATCAGATAGACTTGAATAGAATAAAAAGCCATCATTGTATTGTCAGGGTCTAAAGAGACTCGGACCTTGCTTCACATTTGCGGACTCACTAGATCTGCTTTAACTTTAGCGTTAAGTTTTAGGTTATTTTGCACTTAAGGCTACCGGTAACATATAAGCCTGTCAATTGTGCCAGTGTTAACTTGACTTACTTAAACTTAATACACTTGGATTACCTGGAGATTCATAAAGTACAGGTCTGAAGGTATGTTATGAAGCATCTTTGTGATGAAAAATGAGAGGCCGGTGACCATGCCATTAAGTCTAGTGATTTCAGCATCCAAGCCCTCTAGAAATTTTGCAGGGGGCTTGAAATAGAATTGTTGTGATATGGATGCACTTTCAGACATAAGTTTCAGTTTCATGTGAATATGTCAGGTAAGTTAGCTAGTTTTGAATTAAGGTTATCTCTATCTGAAACAGGAGAAATACAATTGGCAAGACACCATGAGAAAGGAATAGAGTCTGAGCTTGTTTTTAGTGAGCTACTGTAGCTGTAACGAACTACGCCCTTTTTAGTACATTATTACACCAGTGGACACAACAGTTCAAGTTGTGTCTCCTTTTGTGTCATGATGCGATAGACTGCCGTAAGCTGACAAAACGCCCTTTTTTTTTTCATTTTTGCGCCAGTTTTTTAAATATATTTGCTAAATCGAAGACCTGATCAGTTACCCTTCTATTGGTATGAAAAAAAATCTTATTTAAACTGTGACTAATTTTGAAATGAATTATAATTCAAATTTTGGAAGCAAGCCTTTTATAAATGGTTACACTGACAAAAAGCCTCTGTATCCCGAAACTGCTGCGAATTTTTAAAAAGTTTTTTTCACAGCTTACGGCAGTAGAGTAAGGATTTCGTCGTCAATTTTTCTATATCTTTCCATAAACTTGTCCATTTGCCTGGCAATTGATGGAGAAAAAAATACCCTTCTATCTTTAATAGAAGTCTAGATATTTTGTGTTGAAGATGGGGGTCACGGGGTGTCAGTGCCTTTTGATTTCATGTTTTTCAATAAAGTCCATGCAGGAATGTGTTTTTAAGTGGACCTCCAAGGTGTTGAGACCAAAACGAAAATAAAATCAATAAAAATGGCCAAACAATCAGAAAATGGTTTGTTGTTGTTTTTTTCAATTTAATCATTTTGACAAGTGTTTGATTTCACCACGATACCCTACATTTAATTTTTGACGTCAGTCAGGTTTTCCTTCGTGCAGTGGCAAAGGCTACCATTTTAATTTGGCACAACTTTAACTTAATCTCTTCCTTGGAGTTAACTTTTGTCTGGAAGAGAAAAAAGAATAGTGGAAATTGAAATTTATAAAATAAAGCGTGTTTTTTAAAGGTGGATACATTTGATATGAGGTCTTACTTTTAAGTACTTGCACACACAAAGATCAAAATAAGTGAAGTAAGACAAAAGTAATGGAAACTCCTTGGCTTAGAGAACAGTATTCATCATCATCCTTCCCACAGCACTGTGGAGTATAGGCCATCAACAAGAGCTCTTCATCTCTTCCATTGTGGGCTACATTGTACACCTCTGCCCAGTAGTTTTAGGCCTTCACCTTCTCTTTCCTTGTAGATTCCATCTTGAAAAGCTTGGTGGGTAAAGCTGTTTTCTTAAGGTTTGTTAAATCCACTTCCAGTTTCTCCTCTATTAATTTTTATACATTCAAATTTGCTCTCTAAATAACGACCACCAGTCCAAAACAATAATCTCTGTACTAACAATCACTTCCCACTTCCCCCAAAGCGTTTTTCAACATTATGATAAACCGTCTTGTACTATGTCCAAGACAATCCCTTTTTTTCCTGACAATGGATGAATTAATGTTGCTTCTCTGTCGTCACCATTATTATTATGTACTCCAACAGCTAAAACGTTCAAAATCTTGTGCCCGAAGGGAATACATCGTAATGGGGTTTTGCTGTTGTAGGTTTATTACATTATATCATTATAATGGGCATCCCATTTTGTACACTGGAAAAACTGGGCAGTATAACGGGGGGGGGGGTATATGGGATTGGACTGTAGCAGTAGAACAATTCATGTATGTCCTGGGTGTATTTTTCATATGTACTCATTCTTTTTCCTTTTTTTTTTCAGCCCTTTCAGTTGCTGACACAACAATGGCATCATTCTGCCCAGTTTTTGTCGACAAATATGATCCACTGAAAGCAGGAAGTATTGATGGCACAGATGAATACCCTCATGATAAAGGTGTGGTTAGGGCACTGAATGCAGTTTATAAGCCCAACAGATTTGTGAAAGGAGCCCCGGAATGTACTGTTTTTGTTGGTCGCCTGAACCCAAACACTGTTGAAGAAACCATAGAAGATTCTCTTAAGGACTTCGGAAAAATTCTAAGTGTCAGAATTGTTCGGGACATTGTCACTGGTTTTTCAAAGTGTTACGGATTTGTGGAGTTTTCTGATCCTTACGAGGCTAGAGATGCCTGTAAGAATGGAAATAAAATTGTCATTGATGATCATGAGATTTTGGTAGATTCAGAAAAGGAAAGAACTCTTAAAGGATGGATTCCACGACGATTAGGAGGTGGCATCGGAGGAAAAAGGGAGTCTGGTCAACTGAGATTTGGTGGTAAAGATAGGCCTTTCAAAAAACCAATACAGACTTTGCACCAAGCCCAGGATTACAAAGACTTTGGTTTCAAGGATTATTCAAGGAATTCAAGGAGAGACAAAGGCAGAGATGATTATCAGAATCGAAATAGAGATCGTTATAGGTGACCAAAAACAATGTTAAATACATTGTAAGTCCTGACTGTCGGGGCAGAGATTGCATCAGTCTCTCCTCCACCTTCCATCAATTTGGTGTTTTGAAGGACTGGTTCCATTTCAGTTGCTTTCTTTTTTAAAGCGACGTGATTGTTTTGTTAACATCAATTCTAGTTCTAGCATGAGAGCATTATGTGGATTAGCCGATCCACAAACATCACTCGCCGCACCACTCAAAGTTACAGATTGCCCATCCTTAACGCGGATGTAAAAGAACTGCTTTAAAAAAGTGTTATTTAGAACAGCTACATTGGCCCCCAGAACATCTGAAGGCAGTCCATGAGCAGTCAGTAAATCCTATTTTTTTGGTACAAAGAACAAGAACAATAATAGGGGGGAAATGTGCATTATGCAACTCGTTCTTTTCCTCAACAACTGCTATAATTACTACTAAGGACTTGAATCTATGGCAAAGGGGAAACACTTATAAATATTTTCAGTGGTCAAATTGTATACATTTTGTATCTACATCATACGACGTACCGGTACTCTAAGGCTCTATGTAAGGTATCGAATAAGCGTAAAATTTAGTTGTTAGTAGATCTTGTTAGTACATGTAGTTATAAGTGGTTTGTAGTTTTTTAAAAAAAGAAAACAAAAAATTTTTTTTTAAAATAGGACCCTTTTAGGGCCGCACCCGTTGTCACCTCTTAATTAAACACGAGATTTAGGTGCAGCTATAATTGGCCACACGAAGGTTCTTGCCATCAATGGGGGGAATGGAAACTTACTGCGGCCATGCATGGGTGCACAAAGTAATGGTTATGTTAAACAAAACCAAGCAAAACAGGGTTAGTTTAAAGCATCTAAAACTGCCTAAGTAGCGTTTTAACACAAAAATGCTCAGTAAAATCCAAGCTGGCATATACTTACCGAAAATGGGAAAGCGAAAATTCAGGGTGGTCAAAATCAAAGTTGAGGCTTTGCCCACGGGAAGAAAGAGAAAGTCACTTGATTGCAACTTTTAATCAACTCAATGTTTATAATACAGGGAATCGCCGCCGTATTAAAGGGGAAAAGGTTACAGAGAGGTGAGACAAGAGCCGTGGCCGCACCAGTAAGTCTCTACTCTAGTCCTGCAATAGGGTGAATCTCTACTAAACAATCAAGCGTGAGGAGCCAATTGAGAAGGAAGCTGGATTCCTCACCACTTATTGTCTTAGTAGCCTTTGGGTTTGACTTTTCAGTCCCCATAGTCTCTTCCTCGGTTGGCTTGTCCCCACCACGGACCACAGAGCAGCCAAGCACCAACCGTTCTTTCCGATATGCCGAAGGTAGAGCAAAACATATGCTATGCCTGCACACTTGCAACTTTCTCCCTGCTGGAAATTGTAGGAAATATTCTATGGGATTACCCCTTCTACTCTACTCACTTTTTACAATTTTCTTTACAACAACCTTTCAATTATCCTTGCTTGTAACATGTCTTCCATCGCTTTCTCTACTATTAGTACTATCTCCCTATTCTTGAGTGGCGTGTGGTATGGTTTGAGTCTGATTGGGGGGGCTATCACCTGTGTCTTGGAGAAGGCGAATTATATGTCCTTGTTTCTTCGTACCAGCTCTCTTACCCATCCTAATTCTATGTTCTGAAAGACAATGCAAGTCGGTCTCTAGTCCATCTTCAAACTGATCGCTCCTTTTAGACTCTTATAGTCTACCACATTTTCACTTATCACCCTTTCTATCCTGCCAATTGCACAGCTTCTTTGTAACCTTTAAATAGTTTTGTTTATGTTGTTTGCTATCATAACTGACACATATCGTTCTTCGTTATCTTAGGCAGTTTGACTACTGCTGCACCCAGTAAATCCCAGGAGTGTTGCTAATTAAACCTTGGTAAGGGGGAAGTATTTGTAAGACATTAGATCTATCTGGTTCCAAATATAATGGTTGTACCCTTATTTGTGCAGTTACCATTGGTGGTGTGTGGTTTAAGCACATCGTGTCGGAGTCTTAACAAGGATGCAATGTGAACATCTTCCTCCGAATCTACGCAGGTACCTTTAACCTGTAACTTTTTACGGTCAAAATACAGCCTCGCGCCGTTGTCCACGAACCAGTCTCATCTGAAGATTACATTTCTATTCATCTCCTCAACAACATAGAAAGAGTGGGTCGTTTTTACACCACCTATGGAGAAAAAAATATCTGCACGTCCGTCAACTTTCAATAAATTTCCGCCCACTGACTGTAAATTTACTCTTTTTCTTCAGTAAACCTTTGTTACAAAGTGGATCAAATGTCTTCCTCTTTATCAAACTTACTTCTGCCCCTGAATCAACTAAGGCTCTTAAGTTTCTGCCTCGAGAAGTTGAGAAACTGGAATTTGGGGAACCTGCAACATTTGTCCGATATGTTACTGGATTGTTCAGTGGGCCACCCTCGTATTTCCTGTTCTTTCTGGGAAGGCAGCCGGGTAGTTTCTTGACCTCTTTCACCTCATAGTGGTCTGCAACTGACTGCTTCAGTGATTTCCATTGTTCTCCAAGGCTTTGCGATTCTGTTCGCAGCCCTTCAGCGGTGACGCTGTCGTCAAATCTCAGTAAATACTTTTTCAGCTCTTCCATAGCCTCTGATGGGACTTCACCAAAGTTTCTTGGATGAAGAAGGAACAGGTCAGCAAACAATCTAGGCACTGCAGATCCTTTTAAATCTTTATTCAGTGCTGTTAACAAGGGTGTCTACAATTAATTTGTACACTTCAACACGATATTTCTTCATTGGGTCAGCTGTTGATGTAGCTTCGTCTGTACAGAATTCATCATCCATTCGTCTGCGTCGTCTTTGCCATTTCAAGGGAAGCGACTCTTCCACGAACGAATGTGTTCTCTCCTCATAGCTAATAACAGCTCGCGACCAAAAACATCAAGCAAGTTTTGTAGCCATTCAGTTGTGTAGATATATATTACACGCTGACACTGGTGGCATTTCTGACTACAAAAGAAAGGCTAAGGTAAACTTTAATTGAAAATGAGAATTACTTTAATCAAATGGAATTGCCTCATACGGTACACCTCGGTCATTGGAGGAGGCTGTTGAGTCTGCTCATATATCATTCTGTGGATGATGACAGTATTCCTAGACAACACGTTCCTAATTCAGCCTTATCATACGAGGGCTGTCCCATGGAAAACCGGAATTTGGCTGTAATTTGAAAACTATTCAATATTTTCACATTCTGTAAACGCACACTTGTAAAACAATCATTTAGAAATTTCCTGATTGAGCACCATGAGCATCGCACAAACCAAACGAGCACAACAGTTCTCAAAAGATGGCTACCCCCTTGGAAAATTGGTCAAGGGTAGAAATGAGGTCTGTCATTCGGTTTCTGACCGCAAAAGGTCTCAAATCTCTAGAAATACACACTGAAATAAAGTCAGTTTATGGGGAGAAAGTAATGGCAAAGTCACAGGTATATGAGTGATGTAGTAAGTTCAAAGCCGGGCACTTCGATATCAATGACAAAGTTTACCCAGGATCTTGTTTTTCTGCCAAGACTGAGGATAACAAGAGTCGCGTTAACGAACTTATTCAAACAGGCAGGCGACTAAAAATTCGCGAAATTTGCGAGTCGCTAAACATTTCAAAGTCGACTGTCTATAGGATAGAGTTTGATGAGCTGCACTATTGGAAGGTCTCTGCTTGATGGTTTGGGGCCGAAAAAGACCAGCGGGGTCATTTTGCAGCATGGCAACACAACGCAACACACCGCAAACTGGTTCCAAAGGTTCGGCTAGGAAGTTCTACTACACCCCCCTCACAGTCCTGACTTGGCCTTGTCAGATTATCACCTTTTTGAACCAATGAAACGCCATATTTCTGGACAACGATTCACCGACGACGAAGACCTCGTGGAAGCCGTGTACGATTGGTTGAAATCCCTTGACAAAAGATTCTTCAGGGAGGGTATCTTCTCCCAGATCCAGCGATGGGAAAAATGTGTTCAGCAGGATGGTGATTACATTGAGAAATAAAGCACATGTTGAGGTGTGATGTGTTACAGTTTTATTATAATAGGACAAAGATTTTTGCTTTTACGGACCTTTTCCGGTTTTCCGTGGGACAGCCCTCGTACATTACGTACGAGATCAGCTTCTGAGCATGAACTCTGTGGTGAACTCTTTGATCACAGGGCATACTTCTCAGCTTATGACCAATGGTCTACGAAAATATGTGTCAAATTCATCCTCCATGTGCATAATTTCTTATTATTCTTCTTTATCATTCTTTGTTAAAATTAACAGAATCGCATAATTTCACATTTTTGGGCTCAGTTTGCATAATTTCAGAATTTTTCTTGCATAAAACGACGGGGACAGCCCCATTTATTAATTTAGTAACCCTAACCAAGAAAGATGGATGGTGCTTTACAGTACATGGGACAAAATCCATGGCTGCTTGCCTGCCTACCCAAAAACCAAACCCTTTAGTGACTTTATGTCCATTTGTTCGCCTTTTATTCTTCTGATAAATCTAGAGGGAAAATTGCAAGATTTCAAGTGCCCCAAACTCTTACCATGCCTGTTTGTTCAATTCTTACGTTCACTCAAGAGTTAAAGGTAAAATTACACTTTTTCTGTTTGTTTATCCCTACACACTTCAATTATTTTTTTGTCAGCAGCTGTTTTTATTTTATATTTAGAACATACCTGTAAATGGCCAATCAAAAAATTGTCTGAACTCATCGACGTGAATATCATAAAACGCAAAAACTGCCAAAAGACACAATGTGCGAATACAGTTGATAAAAGTAACACATATAGTGACACATACTGGTAATAACAGTAATATAAGAAAAAAAATGCCTGAAAATAAAAATTAAATTAAATTAACTCACCCAAAATAAATCTACTTTATACAGTACAGGTAATGATGGGGGGGTTGTGGGGCTTGCTTTTAAGCAATGTTCTTAGACTTGGATGGTGGTTCATCCTGCCTCTTCTTCAATCTGGATGCTGCTGTTTGAAGATGGTAAGCTAATGAAGTGTCTACAGGAGAAGTAACAGCATCTGATCTCCTGTAGAGCTGCAAGGTGGATGTGTTGCTGGCCAGAAGCTGATATTTGATGAACATATGTGCCTCGTAAGTGGATATTAGCAATGATGAAGCATTTTCTGAAATGATACCATTCATCATGCTGAAGGATTGCTCTACCCTAGGCCCAGTGAAAATTGAGAGGCAAGCTCCAACAATTTTATTTACAGACTGATATCTGTTGAGCTTGAATACTTTATTCCGCCATATGTCCAGCTGGCAGTCACTGGGTGAAATGTCCAGGTCAGACTGCATGCTCATTATTTCATTATGAAAATTTGGAGCATGAAGAGATGGCAGGAAACTTGGCAGCTTTCTCAGGATAATGGCTGTGCCTGCATTGCCAAATGCCTTGGGGTCTAACAGGGAGAAAGTTCTGAGTACAGAATTCCTCAGCAGCGGTTTCTGTTGCATGTAACTTGTAACTGCCTGTTTTCAAATAGGCTTCACTAAGGAGGCTTCTGAAATTCTCCCTATCACTTGTTGGCAGTTTGCAAACCAGGTTTCTTTCCCCATGGTACACATGTTTGGATGGGAAGAGAATGTTGCTGTCGTTCATGTTGAGGTCAGCAAAGTCTTTTCCTGCTTCCCTAATAATGAACTCTGGCTTCACAAAAAACTCTAAAAACCTTCTGAAAATACTGACCAATCCATCATGAAGGAGATGAAGCTGGGGTGTCTTCTTTTCAAAGTTCAGAATAAACCTCTTAAAGAAAGGCAACACAGAAATTAAGATGTCAATGAGAAAGTTTGTTTTGTCCTTCAGGTCAAAGTTTCTTACATACTCTCCTCTTCCTGGCTTTCCACTGTTCAGTCATTTTCTTAGACTTCACATTCAACAATTTCTTGGAAATTTCTTTTCTACTGCCTTCAGCCACATTTCTTTGTTGAAAAATTGCATAAATATCACTTTGAAATAAATGTTTGTCACCAACAGGCAAAAATGAAAAATAAAAAATTGTAAGGGAATCCTTTAAGAATAGAAAATGTTCGCAACGGTCCAGAATGTTTAACCACCTATGTCCAATCCTTTGCTTTGGCAAAAGGTCTTTGATGTTTAAAAGAGAACAAATTGGAGAGAAATGTTCCCTCCTTGAGATCTGCACAGAACTCAAAATCACTAAACACATCATCCAATAAAAAAGGAATGAAATTCTCCACATCAACAGAAGATGTAAATAGTTTTGAAATAATAGAAGTCTCTAAGATAGCCTACATGATGAGCTGTGCTGTCACTACACATGTATCAGCAGCATGACGACAATCCCAAAATTAAATCTTGTTAATCTTTTACTTTTATTGTATCCAATTGTTTGTAACTTGTACTAGTACTATGTTGTTACACGTTTTTTTTTTCAGTTAGAATGGAATGATTGGGAGTCACTTTTTTGGGGTCTTAGTCTTCCATCTTTTTAAAATTTTAATGTTGGTCATTATTCATGGTACCGGTACTTGAGCTGTGCTGTCACTTCACACTTCACATGTATCAGTAGCATGACATTGCCCAAATAAAATTTTATTCGTCTTTTATCCAATTGTTATTGGAACTTTTTTTTACACACGTTTTTCTGGATAATTCCCATTAGAATACAGTAACTGGGAGTTACTTTTTGTGTCTTACGTTAAGCCGTATGACAATAGATCTATACTGTACTGTAAGTCTCCTGTCTGTGGGATACCCATTGGAAAAAACAAACAATAAACATCACAACATTAAACCCAAACTGTGACCGCGAAATCCTTCGAGCCTCCCCAGAAGAGACGGAGTCATTTTTAATCGATTACGAATCGGACACATGACCCTGACACATAAATACCTCCTTCAGGGAGATGAGAAGCCGTTCTGTGTCGGATGCGACACAGATTTTACCTTTAGACACATTTTAACCGAATGTCTAGTCTAGACTTCGGAAACACCCGAAGGAAATATTTTAAATGCAAAAAGAATGCAAGATTTGTTTTCCGTCGTTGTTCCCAACAGAATTTTGGATTTTATGAAGGCCATTGGCCTTTATGGAAAATTGTTAAAATGAAATAAAACTGTTGAAAATGTTATTTTTTGTAAACAATTATTTTTAATTAAAAATGTATTTACCTCCAAATCCAAATTTTAATATTTATACATTTTAAAGTCTGATAGTTGACTCGAGCCCAGCCGTGCAGTGATCTGTTGCGAATGCAACCAACTTGTGTTTCGCGCGCTCATAATCATATGATCTTATGCAGAATACAAACATACTGTAAGTGTTGTAGTGTGACTTAGTGTTTTGAGAAAAGAGCCGCTTTAAAGCAATAAATTGCCGAAGGCTTGACTATTTCCATGTTTTCAAAGGCAGTTTATGTGATGACATGTTTGAAAGAGAAGTTTCCTCATTATTTCATCTTATCTTTTAAAAGATTCTATCGTGGCTTATATTTGTAAATAGCTTATAAGTTATATTTCATTTATATTTTACCCAAATCTGCAATTTAAAGGAGTACACATTTAAATCCTATTTACCAGTTGCAAGTGCCCTAAAACCCCTACTAAAACTATACAGTCTCTGTGGGAGACATTGGAAAAAACAAATAATAGACGAAAACTTTCTGGCCTCCCTAGAAGAGAAGAGGTCATTTTTTACTCGATTACGCATCGGACACACGTCTCTAACACATAAATGTACCTCCTTAAATAACAAACAGATATTTGACAAGATCTTCTCATGTCCATAGCTGGGACCTATTCCCATCAGGGTGAAGTGAGGAAAATTCATGTAAAGTTCCTTTCCTGAGGACACAAAGTCAGGTCTCTAATGGGATTCAAACCCATAACCTTACAGACAGTTGCAAGTACAAGAACCTAACCACTACGCTACCAGCTACCAATCTTCAATCTGTACAGACCAATGTT